GATTTCCAGAAAATGATCCATTCCCCAGATGATCTTCTGTTGGGAAGGATAAAGAAGAGCACAGACTATTCTGCTGTTGAAAAATAATAAAGCTGCTGCCCTCTCGGTTTGTAAAAAGTAATTACAGAGAGAACGTTTCCGAACAGTGCTCAGATGTGAAGAACGAGGATTTGTAAAATTAGCCTAATGACTGTGTAACTAATGAATAGGGCCTGTGGTCATTTGTATAATGCAAACATCTTTCAAAGTCCATTCTTGTCTTCTACTACCATTAGCAAACACAGTGTGAGCATATTAAACTACAGTGGCAACACCATTGTGTTACTGTCAATGAAAAAGCTCAAATGGAATAACTACAGAGATTTGTCAGCATATCTACCCCACAGGTGCTTTTCTCTGTCCAAAGAAATATCACAGGTTTTCATTGACATCATGCTTAGCACGTTTACACTTTGATTTCTGTATAAGGAATTATTGTTCCTCTCATTTTAGCCTCTGTCAGGCCCTTCTGAATCATTTTGTAATTCCAGGGCTTGGAATTCGTTTCTCACTCATACAATTCACATTACAGTGTCACTCTGTCATCTTTTTGGATGAGTGTGAACAACACAAAGTTGACAAAACAGCTTTTCTTCACCCTGGTTAGTTTTAAATAACTACATAATTTAGGGTTCACAGAAGCTAATTAAAGTTGACAGGAAATCTGCATTTTAGGCCTACAGCTTTAACAGATTCTCTTCTATAAGCATCTGAAGATCAACCTTATTTATCTTGTCCTAAAGCAACAAACTAGAAATTTGCTGAAAAAATTACCATCTGCTCCAATTTAAATAGCTAACATGAATTCCACAAAAAATGGTCATTTGGTCTGTGAGGACCATTCCAATAAGGCCACTGACCATAAAGCCTAGTTTAAACCCTGTCAAAGACAGAATGTTGTATCAAAGCTGAGGCAAATGCATTTAAATTTTGGGCTCATAGTTGAGACAGGAGATAGGGGACAGGTCAGTCTTGCAAAGCCAGATCTCTACTGACAAGATTTCTAAAAAGAAAAGTAGCCAGGGTGCACTTGTCTGCTAGAGGATGCCAAATTTTGGCCTTCAGAATCCTAATGGTTAAGTTTCAGTTCACCAAATAAATACATTTTTAATACGGCTACGGGGAGAAAGAATTTTTCTTTTTTTTTCAGGTCTCTGCATTTTGTCTTGGAATGCATGGATTGCACATTTGCAACTGCATGTCTTACCTTGCATAAAACCAGCATTCCCTAATATTCCTTCCCAGCTCCTCCTGCAAAGTCTTGGTATCACTCCTAAAGCAAATCAGTCCAGTTCTTGTATGATTTATTTTAACTAGACGCTGCTGAAGGTGAAGTTGACGGTTTTCAGGCATGTGCAGCAACAAACATCATGTATCATCTTCTGTTTTAAATGAGATCTGGTCCTTTCTCTACCACAGTGCACTGATAGCAGCAGCAGAAGGCTACAAAGGGGCAAATGCCAGTGACTCACTGGAGATGGGAGAGGAATTCATCGCTCTGGGCGCTGCAGAGTGGCAGCTTGTCATGGCTCAGTGAGAAATGCTGTTTGTCTCCAGCCAGCTGGTGACAGTCCTTCACGGCAAGTGTTGCAAATGGGAGCATCCAGAGAATGGAAACAAAAATGAATGATTTTTATTGTCAGAATACAGCCTGTTTGGAGGCTGTGAATCCTTCAGAGACTGGGAGATTTTTCAAAATGAGGTTCCTTAACTGGACTCAGAGGAACTCTCAAGGCAGCTACAAGGTTGTTTCGCTGATGAAGAGCTGTGGACCTCCCAGAGGAGGAACTGAAACCATTTTAAATATAGGTTTTATTGGAAAATTCACTACAAATAATTCAAAACTCTAGATGTAATCTGTTTTATCTGGATCCTTTAGATAGAGAAATACAGGCTTCAGAGCTGTTTGTCTGGAGCACCGAAGGAGATGGGTTATGGTTTTGCCACGTTCAGGAATGCAGGCCACGTTTTTCCGCATGGGAAGCACAGCATGGAGCAGCCCGTGCTCTGCTTCCCAAACATGGCAAATGTGAGCAGCAGACAGCTCCTGCTGGCTCCTGGGCTTACAGAAATGGCCAAGTGTGTGGGAGGAGTGGATCCCTCTTCCAGCTGGACATCTGACGTTATTGTTTGTGACAAAGCGAGTGGGACTTTTCCCTCCTCGTTCCTGGTTTCGAAGCCCATCCTGTCTGCTCGTTCCATCAGCTGCAAAGCCAGAGCTGTGGGTGGGTGCTGAGTGTGAGCAGCAGCCCTCAGGAAGCAGAGCTGCACTCTGGCCCTTGTCAGTGCAGTGACAAAGCCCTGGGCATCAGCTCCACTGCCCGCCCGTGACTAACACAGCCCTTGTGGAGCAGCCCCAGAGCTGGACTGGTCCCCAGGGTGGGGATGCTGCATTCCTGGGAATGAATGTCTTGTAATCACATTTTTAAGTAGATATAGCAAATATAGCCCTCAGCCATATGTGACTCAGCCCAGCACTGAAGAACCTGACAGAGTAAATGACTGACTAATGGTCCCAGCCCAGATATCTGGAGTAACCATTTTATGAGTGAGCTGGGTGAGGGCAATCACAATAGACACATGCACAGAGGAAAGAGTTTTCCACTAAAAACCTGCCTTTAATTTTAGGGATAGTTAGCTCTTAAAATAAAATTTGTTTTCCAGTAACATCAAAAAGGTTTTTGCTAGTCATGAGTGAATGCCAATTGCTTTCAGTGTATTTTTCTTGAACTAGATTTAAAAGACAACAGATAGTTCATAAATTTATTATGGACAATTTTTTCTAAAGCTTCTTCTTATTACGACAGAGAGGATGAAAAAAAGGAGAATGGGGGAACAGAGAGAGGAAGGAACTGTCTGTTTTTTTCAGAGATTTTAATTAGGTAGCAGGAGTTTTCAAGCTTGGATAAGCTTTCAGGTATTTACTTAAGCATCTGTTTTGCAGGAGGAATTTTAGACCACTGATTGTTTGAATAACTAATTATAAGTTAAAAGATATGATAAAAATAAAAACCTGACTTATAATTTGCCTTCTTATCTTCTTATGTTCAGAGATAAACTTGCTTCACACAGCTCTAGGACTTTGTTCTTCTGCATGTTTTGTTAGGGCAGGTATAAGAAGCCAAATCCTTCATTTCGTAGCTGTGGTGGTCTGGAGTTTGAACCATTTGGTGGGTTATTAGAGCATGAAAAAATTATTATGGTTACCTGAGCCAGGCAAATAAACAAACTGACAGCAGCTTATTGGAAACCTTCTATTTTCCCATTTTGAATTCATGTTTAATCAGAGCTGTTTGGATACCCAGGCTCCTTTTAATGAAACTAAATTTTCTGAGATTTGTTTATTTTTGCTCTATACATAGAACATGCAACTAACTAAAACAGTGTTCCTGCTTTTTCTAATTTACATAAATGAACTTAATTTTTAATTGAACCTATTACTCCTATTAAATCCTCTGGGATGCCTAAATCAAAATGCCGTGGGTCTCCTTATAGGCTGTGATTCAAGGCTATCTTTTTATCATGGTCAAAATTGTTATTCTGGATTCCCACTTAATTATGAAGATAATGCAATGTGGCAGGTCAGAGGCAACAGTGACATTGCTCATGCCAAGCTGCAAGGATGGCTTGTGAGTGGCTGAGATGGCTTGAATGTTTTAAGTAATAATTTAATTTATCAGTTTGCTGATGGATTGTCCGTGGTACTGATTTTTATAACCCAAACATTTCAATGTTTTCATAATGATGATCAGAAGATAGAAAATATTAATAATTGTACAGTTTTCAAAAGCACTGCAGTGATTTAGAGCCTATATAATGCTTTTTAAAGAGATTCTGATCACCTGGGAGCTTAAATCTTATAAGTTTATATGCCTAAGAGTGGGTTTTCTGAGCAGGCAGCAGCATTTTATTCGTAGGAATAAATAATAAATTGCCAGAATGTGTTTGAAATTTTTACCCTACCATTCACATTGATGTAAATTTTAAGAGTTTAAATATTGTGTAACAAGCTCATTTAAACTGTTGATTTTCAAAGCTGTGAACGTCCAAGTCCAGAAATCCCCAGTTAAAGGTGTTAAAAGGCCACAGTTTCCCCCCCTTTCTCTGCAGAATGCAGATCAGCTGAACCTGCTGGACATAAACCAGGCACAGGTGGCTCTGCTTGCTCGGGGGTGTTTTGTGACACGGGACTGCTCCCTGATCTCAGCGGGATCCCGGGAATTCACTGCTGGGCAGCTTGGCTGTCACACCTCCTCCCTCACTGCTGGCCTGCTTTGGAGTTGATTCTCTCCAGGAAATTGTTCTGTTTCATTAACAGGTTCGGAGCTGCTCTGGGTTTTCTCCTGCTTTTTTATTTTTCACTCCCGTGTAGCAGTTTGTTTGGTTTGTGCATTACACTGCCAGATTCAGCCCCAAATTCCAGTTTTATTGTATCATTTTGCTAGTTTCTAGGAGGAGTTTTTAGGCAGCATTCCTTTGAGGAGAAGGAGGAAATAGTGTTGTTCTGTGGAAGTGCCCAGGTGATAAAGAGCAGGATACTGATGGATTTCCCACCTGAGGAAGACTGACTGGGTTTTAGGATTAAGGACAGGAACAGGAGAGAGAAAAGTGCTCTCTTGAGAGTATTGGCTCTATTAGAATGGTAGCTATCTTTTAATTTTTTTTCCTCTTTTTGTGTTGAACTGGTGTCTGTTTAGCTTTCCCTTCAGTGGAAGGATTATCTGAATTTTTTATTAAATCTTAGTATGATGTTTGTTTTCTTATGAAAGTAACTAATTGCAGAACTGCTGATTTGTTTGGGGTTTTTTTCTCATTTATTAATGGTGTCTGGGCATTCGGAGAGCATCTTATTGATGGTGCTAGCACACATTCAGGTTAATTATTTAAGAAATGTATTCCTATAATTCATCATCCACTGAGGATTATTGAGATATTTTCAATGCATCCGATTTCTTCCACAGGGACTACATAGAGCATGAAGAAAATGAGAATATCCTTGTCAAATTGATGGGGCTGAGACACAGAGCAAGTTAGAAGATGACAGCCAGGTAAGTTTTTGAATTTCTCTCTTTGAACACCTTGCTAGAGCCACATGAATCTAGAGAGTCTTCTTTTAGGAAAGTTCCATTAAATTAAAATAAAATAGGACTAAAATGAAGTATGGTAAAATATTCAGCAGAGCTTCTGCTTCATTGCTTTAATGATGAGGAACTATTGAAAGGAACCCAGATTTGTTCAAAGCTGTGGTATTACCCTGAGAGCTCCCCAGTTTCGTTCAGGTGCCTGGTAGGTACCTGTGGAAAACTCGGAGGGGGCTCTGTGAAGAGCAGTACAGGGGTGGAGCACCACCCAGGGCAGAGTGGTGAAGAGATACTGGGAATGTGCTCCTCTCTCTCCATTTGTACCTTATAGGAATGGATTCAAAATTCATTAGGAAAAATGAGTATGATTGTTTAAATTAGCGCTTGTACTGCTGGTGGAATTGAGGCCTAGCGACAAGGCATGTTTCTGTGTATGACATAAGCTATCACAGTCAAAGGAAATGATCAGGGAATCATGGAATATCCTGAGCTGGAGGGTTCCACAACAATCACTGAGTCCAACTCCTGGCCCTGCACAGAACAACCTCAAGGGTCACACCATGTGCCTGAGAGTATTGTTCAAACACTCCTGGAATTCTGCCAGGCTGGTGCTGTGACCACTTCCCTGGGGAATCTGTTCAGTGCCCAGGCATCCTCTGTGTGAAGGATGGCATTGCCAAGGCAGTGTTATTTCAAACTGCACATTATCCCATGTACAGTCATTCTCCTGACTTTCCTGAGTGACTCCTGTGAGGTTTAGACATCTAGGACAGAGTATTCCCCTTCCTGAATGCTGCTTGTAAGATAGATCAAAGAACCTGTTCTTACAATAGATTAAAAACCCATTACTGTCTTCAAAACCAATTCTTATCCCCTGGGAGAAGGAAGATTCCTACATGATAAGTTGATTTTGTTTTTTGATTTATAATACAGTGTTATTTATAAAAGTTCTTGAAGTGAATCACTGAATTCTGAACTTTGAATCTCTCTGCAAATAGCAGCAATGAAACTTGCCTTAAGTGTAAATGAGCAGCAATTTAAATATTAACTATCAGTTGATATTTCACATTGCTTCCCACATACCCATTTATAAAACAGCCAAGCTGCAAGCTTTGTATAAATAGCATTTACTTACTGCCACGGTTTAATTGAAAACTTGGTGTTTGAGGATGGTTTATATGGGGAAGTGGGAACTAGTAGTGACTGCTACTACTTGCTGTGTCATAGCTTTGCTGTGTAGTCTTGAGAGATGACTAAAATTAATGGTGTGCAGTTTCCTCTGACTTGAATTGTTATAATCCCTATCCAACAGAGATATTGTAAACCTGATAATTATTTTATCATACAACAAAGTTGTACTGGCATGGGTACACATCACTAGAGTGCAGCAAGAACATGGTTACAAACAGTCCTTCACCTTCTGGGAATTTGAAACCATCAGGTTCAGTAGTGGGTGAATTAAAGATGATGGGTAACCAAAACCCATTAATATAGTACTTTAATTGCCTTGAGTGAAGGAAAAAAACATAGAAAGAAAGACCATTACTTGTCTGGGACATTGTTTTGCAATGGTTTTCTGTCAATACCAAACTGGGAGTTCAAACTGGTCACAGTTTGCAGGAACCAGACCATTGCATTACTTGTTCTTGTTTACACTTTCTCTTTTTCTTTCTTGCACGAATTCCATTCAAGTTTCTCATGACTTTTTTTTTAACTTGTGCACAGATGAGGGAAAATTTGGGATTTGGGTGGTAGTAGATTGTCACAAGAAACCTTAGTGTGAGTACAAACTGCTCCATGGGGTGTTGGGTAACAGCAGAATTGAAACCACAGTCACAGAAAGGTATCTATGTGTTTGATTAATACATTCACAGAGTCACAGAATATTCTGAGTTGGAAGGGACTCACAAGGATCATTGAGTCCATGTCTTGAGTGAATGGCCTGTACAGGGCATTTGGCAGTTCTAGGTCATTAGACCTTGGCAGTTCTAGCACTGAGCTAATCAGGGTCAATCTGACACACCCCACATGAGCAAAGCATTTAAAATACCTCTTGTACTCATGTGCAAACCAGGTTCATCATGCATGAAACTGCAAATTTGTTTAAATGCAAAATATAAGATGTATTGTAGACGCCTCATATGAATATGTATAGACATTTCAGTATTAACTACTACAGGCTTCTGTGAGCCAGAGTATAAATAACACCTGAGGTTGTTTATCATTGTCAATTAGTCATGACACATGGCCTTGGGCTAAAAAGACCCTGAGAGCCAGACCCTCTGCTGCTGTTCCTCCAGGCCTTTCCTTGTTTCTCTGACTGCTCGTGAAGCAAAAAGCTCTCAAATGAGCATTGCTGGGCATTTTATTTATTTGTTCTTCTACTTCTGAATTACTATTAAAATATCTTCTTAGTGAAAATCTTGTTGTTCTGTTCTTAATACCATAATATTCCATTGCCCTTGGCAGATGCAAACACAGATGATTGTCTTGTTGTAGGACAGATGACCCCATTCCTGTCCCTGTTGTTTAAATCTTACCTCGAATCCTCAGTTGTTCCCCTCTCAGCTCTGTGAGCAGTTTCCAGGGCCAAAGACAAGCAGGAAGAGCTTCACAGTCAACATGAAATGTCTGAGGTTCTTTGGTCTCTGCTTGGGCTTAGATCTTTTCTGTCTTATTTATGGAGGTTTTCCTCCTTTAGTTTGCTTTATTGGGAGCTAAGCTGTAGTAATACAGGGGGAGGAGGGCTTTTTACCCTGATGTGGTGTTTGCCATGTGAAGTTCCTTCCCATTTGTGTCAGACAGTCCCAGCCTATCCCCAGCAGATCCCAAGGAGACTCACCCTGAACTGAATCTCTGGCTTTGCCTTTGCAATAGATTTGTTTTAACAAGTGCTGCCCATAAGGCATAATCCTGTGACTTATTGAAATAATCTGTATGACTTTCCTGGGTGCTTCCTACCTGCTGAAATCCAGTTCTTGCAGACATGCACCTGCCTGCCTTTGCCTGACAGGAATAGTGACATCAAGTGGCAGTGGGGCCTCAGGGACAGAATAATACTCAATTCCCTTCACACTTTTTCCTAATGATTTTTTTTTAATTTGACATTGTGTGGGAGTTACCACAGCCTGGACAACCTAATAAAGGTAAAAATCTAGGGAGTTTAGAGAAATAAAGGGAATGGGCCCAAATAGATAAAGATAATGGGCCCAAACTAGCCCAAAATCTATCTGGAGATTCAGGATTCCACCACTGTGCTCTGTCTCATGGTGTCAGTATTGGATTTTCTTCATCTCCCCTCACTCTGGATAATGGAGGTACATTACTAAAATAAACACTGATAATAGTATACCGTTCATTTCTTGTTTTGTTAGTCCATGATAACTGGAAATCCAAAATTTTAAGGAATGGTTGAGATTTTGCCATTACTGAAAGGTCTTTCCCAACCTAAATGATTGTATGATTCTAAGATACCAGGAGACCATACCAGAGACCAGCAGTCCCTTTTGTTTTGCAATATAAAACATTTTACATGCAAAGAGGAAAGCAAGCAGTTTCTGCTGTGAGCTGCCACGTTCATTTTAGGGAGATTAATCTCACAAAGGAAAGCATATGTGGAACTGGGTCACAGCACTTCACATGTTCAAGCTTGTGTAAGACACAAAGTGATCAATCCCCACAAGATCTTTGTAAAGTGAACAAGGTTTATTATTTATAGTAGTAAACAGGCTGGCATTTATCTTTTCAAAGCATGGCAGTAGCGTAAAATATGTTTTAACTTTTGTTGTTTTCAGTTATTTGCATTTTAAAAGCTCTACTTTGAGTCGTTATACCTTTCTCGAGTTTCATGATTTATATAATAAGATACTTGCATGTACTGAAATGACAATTCTCAAAGCCAGTGAAGAATAAAAGCGTGGCACAGCATGGAAATTCAGTGTTATAATATGAAGGCATATATATTCTAATATGCAATTATTGCACCTTTTTAAGTTATTCTTAATGGAGATAGCAAGATCACAAAGCCCCCTAGCAGAGTGGATGCCCTACCTCACAGTCCTGATACCATCAGGAAATGTAGCACAAGAGTGAGACAGCACAGTCAGCAAAATTTGTCTTCCTTTATAGTCTAATTCAACTTCAATCACGTAGAAGGGGAGCCTGTTTAGTGCAGTGGTGTTAGAAAATGAGCCTTAGCAGAAGCTGAAGTCAGGTTTAATGACAATAACTGTTTGGAGTATGTGCAGCAGTGCATGATGTGTTTTATTTTAATTCCTGTCACTCTACAAGAAGCAATTTTCCTTTCTCCTTTCTCACCAGCAATTCCTACTCATCCTCTCATTCAGTTTGGGCTTTTTGTTTTATGACAATTACTGCTTCAGTTTTCTCCTTAAACTTGATCCTGGTTAGCTGTACATCTCTAATGCTCTGCTGAGCTAAGAGCATTTTTCACTGATCTATGCCAGCAAAAGTCATGACTCTCCCACATATTTTGTAATATTGAGACTATTTATTGAGATAATCCTGGCATGGATTGAGAGCAGCTTTTTGTGTTAGGCCCAGAGCTTCATCTGGTGATAACTGTTCAGGTTATCCTGTGGTACTTCAGCCAAAGTCAGCCTTGGAGGGGGAGGAAATGCTGGGTAAGGAGCCTCTTCTGCAAGTCTGCAGCAGCTCCTGGGATGACCAGTGTGAAATGCTGCATGTTGCTCTTTGAGCTTTACTTGATTTAAGATCTAATGCTTTAGAAGTACTGCCCCCGATTTTTTTTTTCTGGATTTGGGAGCTGGTTTGGGAGTTTTTCATGCTTTGTGTTGACCAAAGTTCTGCTGAGAGAAAAGGTAGCAGAGACCTTTGTTCCCAAGCACCATTCCCTGTGCATTGTCCAAAGGAGCATCACAATCACCCTCAGAGTATTTTACTTAATTAATCATCTGCCTTTATTGAGATTTTACAGAGTGATGTCTTTAGAATATTTTTTTGCTTTTGTCAGAGTACTGTTAAATACTTTTTAGTATTTAACTAGTATTGTTTAGCATTACTAGTATTGTAATAGCGTTGTTAAATACCTCCAGCCGCATCTCAGTGGTATCGCGGCATCTGTGGATCGCACAGGTACATTTAGCATCGTCCTTCACTCGCCAAGAGTAACAGTGACACCCTGTGGCAAATTCAGTAGAGGCCTTGCACTGAATTTCCTGGTTTTCTTTCAAATTTGCCTCCGAATTTCTTACACGGTGGGGAGTATCACAGGAGGATCCCTCCTCTGCACATCAGTTCATCAGGGGGTCATCAGTTTGTCATTTGTCTCTCATTATAGGTTTCCATTATTGGAATACATGTCTAATGAGCACTTTAAGATACAGAGAACACTCTGTGCCCCAGATGGCCAGATGCTTGAGAAGGTGGAACAGGAAACACAAATTGAGAAAAGAAGAAAATATTACATTTCAGTTTAAATTGACTTCACAGGAATATACTGCTGTTCATTGGCTTTCATACTGTTTTTCTCTGACATGGAAACTGTCTACTGAACTGTATCAGAATGTAATGACAAAGATATCCACAATATAAAAGTATCCACAATACAAAACTGTACTACATAAACAAATACACGTTGAAGTTAGGATCCTCCTTTTAACTTACTTGCATCATTCCTTTGGTTTGCTTAATGAACCTAAATAGCACAATTGCTCTGTAATTACTGTCATAATTCTGATTCCCAGTTAAGTCCCTCACTGCACAGTACTATAGTTCTACTGTGTTATCTCATGCTGATACAAAAGGCATGTACCCCAGTTAAATATTTTTCAATGAGTTTAACCTTTGACACTCATTATGCCTTTCAGGCAACATAGCTGGCTGAATACTATGGTCTGCACACTGCAAATGGTTTAAGCCTCATGCATGCAAAATAGCTGACAAAAGAAAGATTTTAAAACTTGGTGAGAGGAAGTGGTCTGCTTTTGGCCATTTGGGGGGTTTCATGGTCGTGGGTTTTTTGAGTTGGGTGTTGTTGGTTTGGTGGTGTTTTTATGGGTGTAGGAAGAAGAAAAAGTTAAGAAATATTGGGCAAATACCTCTGTTAAACTTCATGTGAATCTTCTGTTATACACAGATTGCCTTAAAAAAATTAATGGACATGCAGGGAAGAATGTCATAAATTAGATTTTGTGTCCTCTGTGCTTGAAATTAAGCTCATTATGTCTTGTCCTATCAAGAGTCCGTTCAGTTTAGTTGTTTGGGTGGCAGGACAGTTCTTTGAGCAGTGGAATAGACTGCATTAGTCAATGGTTTATTCTTCAGATTGTTGTAAACAAGTTACACAAGTGCCTATGGCAAATATTTTAGGTAGAGTTAGATCTGTTTCAAAGCAGAGAGAGGGAGCAGATGACTTCCCAAGGCTCCTCTCAGTCCTTCCTTTAGTGAGTTTATGGTTGTGTCAGTGAACTTTGTGTTTTAAATAGTATTTTGTGCACATCTGCTTTCCCAAGTCTCATTCTGTTTGCTTGGGTTCCATCCAGAAAAACAGTGCCCCCTCTCACTGCCCCTTCCCTTTGGTGGGCTCTACAGCCCCGTGTTTGGTGCCCACAGAGACACGAGTGCTTGTGTTGAACAGAGCAAGCACACTGCTCCCACCAGCCAAAGCCCTTGGTGTCCCTGAAGGACTGGCACACTCAATCCCACTGGAGACCAGCGTGGAAGGGAAAATAAAGGGGCAGCTCCACTTTCAGGCCCAGCTGTTTCCTTCTGTTTGGCTTTGCAGGATGTCTGCAGGTCAGGGCTCACAGTGAAGCTCTGGTAGTGTCTGTGCACTGCCCTCCTGGCTCCCTGGGTGTTCCCCGGAGGCCTTGCTGTTCCTGAGGGGAGAATTCTGCCATATGAGGTTAAGATGAAGACACAGGACTCCCACTGTCCCTTGAAGAACTCACTTATCCCATATGAGCACTCCCTGGCAGCCTGTGCGGACAAGACATTGTTGACCTGTGTCTCCCTCCAGGGAGCACTTCAGAGCTTGAAGACATGGCTTGACATTAAGTTTTACCTCAATATTATTTTATTTGGGCTCTTAGTTATTTGCTTTAGCTGAAATTTAGGGAAAAACATTTTTAAACCAGAAAAAGTAAAATTGGATAGGGCTTCGTGTGTTGTTTTTTATACGGATCAATCACACGAGATTTTTACAAGAGAAACATTTTATTAAAATCCTGAATAAATTGTTTCTCTGATTCCTTGTATGCTCTTCATATCATACCAGATTCCCTCAGGTACCGACTTCCAAGAAAAAAAAATTATTTGGTGTTTGTTCTGTCTCTTTTTGTTTCTTTCTTTGTTATTTTCTTTTTTTGTTTTTTTACGTGAAACATCAGTAATAGCTTTTCCACTGCACACAGCTGAATATTTAAGAATAGATAAGAATACATATGTGGAGTAAGAATCAATTTTTAAGACAATTCTTAAGAAATATTTGCAAGTGTTTCATTGTGTCTCTTTAGGGAACTGGCCTTTCCCCTTAGCTGCCTTTGTAAATACATTTCATGGGCACATGGATGGTAACAAAGCTGCCTCTGTCATTGCTGCTTTGTGTCAGCATTGGAAGCCAGAGCTGCAAAAGCTTCATGTATCTTTGAGACTTTGAACTGCTTTCAACTATATAGGAAGTGAATATAAAATGAGGTGTTAGACCTGTAAAGATGAGTGCATTTCCTTGATTTTTACACACTACACTGTCTTACTCAAGTTAATGGTGTAAGTTTTTGGAGCAGGTTTTTTATTCTTTGTTTGTTTTAAATATGGTGACTCTGTGGGCCAAACCATCTTTCATGGAAGTGATGAGAAATTTGCCACTGATTTTCCAACTAAGAATAGTTTTTGCAATACTAGCTGAAAGAAAAATCCACTAACAATAGTGTAGAGACATCCTATTTATTTATTTATGTTAACACTAATGTGAATTGTGTGAATTAGTTGTATTTTTGTATATGAATTACTGTTAATAGTGTAAATTAATAGGATACTGGATGAGGTCTTTTATTCTTCTCAAGTGTTTAATCCTGCATGACTTGCAAACATGAGGAGCAATATATCATGCTCTTAATGAGGAAGTCAAATTAACATATGTATTTTTTCCTATCTAGATTAATATGCCCCATGGGTGCTGACTTTGATTATGTAATCCCTTCTGTGAATGGAAATTATTATCTGGAAATACTGTGAATGCAATTAGCAATTTGAATCTGCTAAACTATTAGTCTACTTAAATATGATGAATCAGTTCTTTTACTTCAATGAATATTTCTAAGGAGAACATAAACTGCATTTTATTTTGCATTACATTCTCCAGGCTAGGTTAGATTATCACCTTCTCTTTTGTTTTCAAACCTTTCTAAGTTTTTATCAATACAATGAAGCAAGTCACAGGAACACATGCGCACTTAAAAAATATTTTATATACATGTTTTACCTTGTCTCAGCTCCACCTGGTTGTTAATTCTAAAAGGTTACAATACTTAAGACCATGTGATTAAAGTTTCTTATGTTGTTGATGAATCATCTTAGTCTACAACTACATTATATAACACTATTTAGTTTTCACACACAGAGGATATTTGCAAAACTAAACAAACATTTTCTGATGGCATCTAGGTTTTGAACATCGGTTTTTTTAGTGCCAATTCTACCTCCCCAGGAAGTCAATAGTAGAGAAAGTCACTGTAAAAACGTCCACTGATTTCAACTAAGTAATTTGCCTCAAGATGGAGAACCTTGCCAAATTCAGATTAAGCAAATTATATCAAGTTGTCTTTATTTTTTTAAAAAAGAGGGATAGGGTGGAATGGGGTGGGTGCAGGTGCTTATATATAAAAGTATATATATTTATATATATATATACTGCCCAAGCCTGCAAAACTGGAATGCCTTTAGCAAATGAGGTGCCAGCTTCACCAATATATTACTCCAGTTTTACACAGTGCTTAATTTCCTGACAGCAACCAGAGTAGTGCAGTGGCAAATGAGCACCTCAGCCCTGAGGGCTGGTTGTTGGTTATCCATGAAGAGCCTGCATTTACTGCTTTGAGCCAACACACAGACCTGGGCAACAGCAGCATGTCACTGGTACATGCAGGTAATTTGGGTCACAGACTGGAACAAGACTAGAGTCTGCCTGCTGAGCCAGGTAAACATGAATCTCTCAGACAAAATCTTGCAGTCATGGTCCAGCCTCTCCCCATCTTGGAACCTCCTGCTTCATTTGGTGGATCTGCTTCTGTAGTTCATCTCTGTCCAGCTTCATTTTTGCTTCTAGAACTTGCCGCAGAGACCCAATGCTCTCATAGATGGCTGCAAATCCTAGTTGCAGGTGAGAATTCCATTAGTTCATACCCAAGAGCAAGAGCATCACATAACCACTGTCAGAATGGGCTTCCCACTGTAACACCCTGCTTTGCACTAGGAAGAGCAAAAGTTCTGAAGGAAAATAGGATGTAACTGTTGGTGGCAAAAATGCCCCTGGTCACAGCCGAGCTATGGCTGTGTGTGCTCTGAGGAGGGCACTGCCAAGCTGGCAAGATAACAGTAATACCCCTTATTGCTGGGAATGCCACACACAGTGAAAATCCTGATTAATGCCACAGGTGTAGCCATTACATCTGCCCCAAAAGTATTTAAATTACTGTGATACAAACAAGGACATTTTGTATATTCTTATAAGTTGATCACCGTTACCACAATTCAGAAAAAAGGACTTGATGACTATGGTCCTACCAGCATTAACTTCGGCTTTCATTTCTTTTATATCTTCGTTTATCTCATTTTGGAGTTTGCCAATGCGAATATTTATCCTTTCTTCAGTCTGTTTTGCTTCATGTGCTTCCATGGTTATCTTCTGCATTTCTTCTATTTTCTCAATTTTCTCTGCCATTTGGTTGAATTTCATCTCAAAAGCTCTCTCACTCATTTCCTGGAGCCCAGAAAAAGAATTTTAATGATTTACTCTGCATATGAAATAACAGTAGTCTTTCAAAAATATTAAATAGATATTGAATGTCTTTGATCTGGAATTCAAAGGTATAAGGAATTATACTTTTTTATAAAATTATTTTAACTGACTTGATTACTGTAGGCTAAAATACTGATCTGTTTAGCAGTGATCAGATTTATTGAAAAATTCTCAGGTTGTGGGAATGTTACACTTTACATCAGTGAAGACACTTAGGCAAATACAGAGGCAGTTTGAAAATCTCACTCAAATAGTAGCTCAATTATATCATCTTAGTTATTAATAAAGCATTTTGAATACTTCCTGAGCAGTACTATAGAATATTTTAGAGAAACTTACCGTGTTTTCCTTAAAAGTCAGTGAGAGTTGTTCAACTTTTTGCACAAGCTCTTTTTCAATCTTTTCATGTTCCTGTTCCAACCAGCTACGTGCAGACAAAATCTGACTGCTGAGTTCCTCAATGGCATTTTTTAATCTAAGAGCACAACAGAAATTAGCAGGTACAAAAGGGCAGAACTGGTCATTCAGCAGTGACTTTTTTAATGAACGTGTTCATAAAATAACATAATGGCAATTTGATACATTCTTCTCTCCATATTAAGGTGAGTCTTTGAATTGTAAGGCTACTAAACTGGATAAAGTAACATTGTTTTAGAAAACAAAGGTGAAAGAGCACAACAAAATAGCAGTTATTTATACAAAACTCATCACAAATTTTGAAGCCTAGCAGATGAAAATTCATTGTGGTATTGAAAATAGAATCTGATCATCCATTCAGATTATAATCTTTGTGCCCAGAGGTCTTAAACCAGAACAAAGATTTGGTAACCATTTATTTTGGTGGCAATGCTGGTTCAAGTGGCCCCACTTACACTGCCTGTACCCACCTCAGCTTCACACCAACCAAATGTGCCAATGAAACTGTTTCTTTTCTCCCTTGAGCATTTGAAATCTGGGTCTATTCTCTCATCTGGTTTGCTGGTTCTACTGTTCTACTGGTGTACACAGTTTGCTGGTTTGCTGGTTACACAGTTCTATTGGTGTAACTGGTGGGATTGCAGGAGGATGGCAATAAGCAGTAAGGAACAAGGATGTGGATGGCTTATACCAGAACTGCCTGGAGAGGAGTTAATATCTGAATTGAATATAATGTCCCCATATAATGTCTGGTAGTAGCACAGTAGCTTATCATTAATAATTTAGGTATTTCAGTTATATTCGTGTTTGAAGCCAATTCAAAGCAGTAACACTTTGTGAATGCTGTGCTATGCTTCCTGCTTGAGTTGAACATTTTGCCCTGCTCTGGACAGCCACCTCCAGCTTTCATTATTTGGCACAGTTCTTGCAGAAGAGCAAGGAAGGCACCAGGCCACTCTTACAAAAATCCTTAGTTGTGTCATTTGAGTTCTGCCCAAATACTTAACTAGGGACTTAATGAACTTTTCAAAATTGCCTAAGCACACCAGAGGCAGGATTCCTGGTGAAAGCAAGTCCCACTTGACCGACCATTGTGCTTTCGTAATATCTGTGGAGCAAACACGTATTCAGAGAGGTTCATGCTTTTGTAGACCTGAAGATTGCAACAGTCAGACTTGGAAAACTGAGGCCCTGCCTCCCAGGGTGCAGGGCAGCAGCACTTACTTGGTGTCCAGGAGTTGTAGCTGTTGGTTGCTCTCTTTGTAGGCAACCTTGAGCTTTGCTTCTTGCTGCATTATCGATTGCTCTACTCTGCTCAGCAGGTGAGAAATCTGAAACAAAATTCAGAATTTACTATTTTTCAGCAGCATTTCATCACAGTTTCACCTGGGACATTTTCATAACAGCAGGGAAGGTCTTAGAGAGATCACTTCCGCTAACATTTCTGAAATTATTGAATTGGCATATTTTACTTTATCTTGAAAAATACAATATCTCTTAACATGAAAGTATCAACATTTTGAAAACTGTAATTTTTTTTTTGCCTTAAATAATTGCAATAGTTTTGCCTTGAAAGCATCTCCCTGCTCCCCCCTTGAGACAGCTGGATTTGCAGAATCCATACATCTCCACATTGCCACATAAGCACAGTAAATAAATAGCAAAGCACTCCACCAGCAGTGAGGGGTGTGCTCCATCACTCTGTGTGTAATGGCTACTGCAGGGACAGAAGGGCTGGGTTTAACTGGGGATAGGACATTATTAGAAGAAAATATTTCTCACCAAAACAATCATCCCACTTTCACAAAACAGTTCTGGCTTACAAGATGCATGACAACATCCTCCTGACATGCTAAGGTACTACACTGAGCCTTCTGAGAAAGGTAAAGTGGATTTTAACCATTTACCTACCGCAAAATGAAGATGTAAAATACTTTTGTTGACCAAGAAAATGGGAAGGCCTTGAGATGGAGATATGAAGAATCCTTTTCCTTAATGTCACAAGTCTCTGCTTGTATCTAGTGCTCACTTCCATTCTCAAACCCAATGGAAGAGAAACCTGACGGACAGATTAATGGATTCACAGAACCCAGAGCCGGTTTTGTTTTGCAGACCTTCAAAAATTGTGTTCAAACAGATAAAGAATCATCCTGGGAAGGCCAAAACATACAGGGAGAGACACTGATGCTTGCATTGTTGTAGTTTTGTGGAGCATCCATGCCACGTTCACATTCCAACCTCAGGAAGCCATTCAGGCCAGAAATCACTGACTTTTGTTCATTCCTGGAGTCCTTTCAGATGCCTTTACACACTAGTCCCTTCTACACAGCATGCTGAAGGCAGAAATTAAGGACCTTTTTTCAGTTAGACCAGTACACTAATGCAGGTAGGTACCAATCTTCAATGTAATAACGACTGTGAGCAGCTACACCTCTCCATTTGTAAATCTGTGACCTCCCAGGATAATAATTAACAGTACTGGAATCTGTGGGAATTAGACTGTAACGCTTACCTGTACATGGATTGCTTTGGTCTAAATACCATACCTGTATTTCTGCCTCTTTGATTTTAGATTCTAAGATCAGCTTGGAGGTGTGTTGGTCTTTACTTAGGCTCTGAAGTCTTTCATATGTAATTTTATGCTCTGCAGACAGTCTGGCTAACCCAGCATCACACCTGTTTGAATAGATAAAAGAAAAAAGCAACAGCTACATAGAATAGGAGGTTCAGGCTTTTTAAATTTTCCAGTTTATACTGGCCATTTCTGGTCTAGGGAAACAATGTCTTATGAGACTGTAAGAATTGTCACGTATATCTCATAGTATTCAGCAAACTGCTCCCAAATGGGCTCGAGGTCCAATAGTCTGACACACACATTTCAGTCATCTTGGCACTGCCACGATATGGGCAGGCTGTGTTATCAGTCAGGGAAATCACATCAGAAAGGCAAAGGTGCACAATTGCATTACCTTGGGTTTTTGTCATACTCCAGAATACATCTGATTGGGTGTGTATGATTTTGCCTACATGATGAGAAGCCTTAATGATTAAGGACCATTTTTTCATGATTGTAGCTTTGTATTTTTATTTGTGAAACAGTAGTATACAATTAATATATGTAGTAAACAACACGGGGCAAATTTTACAGTTCTTAGTCTTTATTTAGGTAAATAACTAAATTGTCACTGAAAGCAGTGGCAATTTTGTCTCAGAAAAGATTATGAAATGAAGTCCTGGAACACAATAATTATTGTTTCTTTTCTTCACGTTGGAACATTTGATGCTGTAACATTTTCAGTCTAAATGTGCTCTAGAATATGTGCATTTTCTACCAGATTTCAAAAAGAATTTGACCAGGTGGATTTCATCTACAGTAATACAATAAAGGCATTAACTGAGCTGTAAAAATGTACATACTGTGATTTCAGGAGTAAGACCTCTGTGAAGTATGACTCATGGACAGTTTTTTGCTAAGGGAAATATGTAACCAGCAATGTTACCAAATTTGATCTAGAAAACTGATGGGGAACAGACAGCAGTCACAATCTGAGGGAGAAAAAGGTAATAAAATGGAACAAGCTGAGGCAGGTTAAGTCATTACCTAAACCAATGACACACTTTATGCTCTTTTTAGCCACATTTCAGTTTGCAGGCTTTGGTTTCAACATGCATTTTCATCACCTCGGTTACAGTAACTGCCATTATCATTAAACATGAAGGGAAAGTCCCAACTAAGATGGCAAATGGAGCATTTGCTTATTATTATGGTACGATTTCAATAAGAAAATCATCAGTCATGCAAAATAGCACATAGACATTATAAAAGTTTTGGAAATCAATTGATGGTGTAGCGGTTGAGCACAGTGAGAGCAGTGAGTAATATCTGTAGGAAGACCAGCTGAGGTTTACACAGCACTGAACTTTACTTCTGGGTCTCACAATCAGGCACTTCTTTTAGAAAGATGAGGAAAACCAAATCTCTCCCCGTTGTTATGATCAGAGAGAATCAGAGCAATGAAATCATCTCACATCTAATCACCAAAATGCTGTGGGCTCCAAAAATGGTTAGTTTTGTTTCTCTGAGGCATGACTGAAAATATAAAAAGCAACAGCTTTGAAACTACTGAAGCAAATGTAAACAGCGAGCATCTGTAATTCTTTTTAAAGCAAATAAATGTTCTGGCTTTAATCACAGAGCATTTCTTTTCTTCATGGAACTCAGTTACCTGGTCAAAGGGTCCATGTAGTTCCATGGCAACTGAAACACTAAAATTCTGACTGTGTTAATTTAGTGTCAGCCTGGTGTGTATTGATCAGATTATTTTGGTTTTTCTGTATAACTGTTGTACACACCCACAAACACCTGATCAGTTTTGACCTGGAAGAAAATGTTAGTGTTCAGTGTCAAAGAATGAGGTTCTGACATTAACTATGTGAGTACACATTTTGAGTTAAAAAGTTAGGACAGTTAAATAACTTCACTCCTTGCTTCCACTGGCTTTCAAACAGAAAGGGAGGCAATAATGAGATGAACATATGGAAAAGCATGGGCTTTCTAACACTTTTGATTCAGGTTTCTACCGAATGATGGGTTGGAAGATAATCAACAATCTAAATACAAGGGAACATTATAGCTTGCAATTTTTCCCTGTTAAAAAAAAAAAGAGAGAGAGAGGGGAGAAAAAAAATGGCACACTATAATCCCCACTGAATTCCCCACACCTCTGGAAGCTCTTTTTTGAGTCTTCTTTATGGATTCATATTAAAATGACAATAGAAGTCTTCTTAAAAATAGAAATACATGTTTCTGAACACTGTATTTGATTTAATCTCTATAGATGTAGCCAGGGGGCTATGGGTATAAAGACAGAAGTTGGAAACAAGTTTCAAGGTTTGGTCATCCTAAAAGCACAAGGAAAGACAGGAGAAATAGATTAAGATTTCTAGGATGGATACTAGTTTAAAAATACAAAAGCTGAGTATAAAACAGTTTTGTACAGAGAAGTGCACAATAAATAATTCTCTGAAATACTGAAGCTGTCCATAAGAACAACCCAGGGCAGTTTTTCATATGCAGTTGCAAACATGCACTGTTGAAATTTGGACCAAAGGTGCACTGGAATGTGTTCATTTTGCTACTGTTTCATTTGGGGGGACAATTTCTGAAAGTTCTGATTGCAAGCTGTGTACTTAGGGGAGATTGGTAAATGAAGACTAAATGGAGAGTTTTCATACTGCTAAGTATTATCCTCGATTTCAGAATGTAGTAGAATTCTAGAAACCAGTAAAGTTTATTATAAACAGTTAAATTATCAAACAACTGCCTTCCAAGCTGTAGTAAGCAAAAGTAGTAGTTATTTTTCTGGCACACTGAAGAGCATTTTTGTTGTCTTCAACCTCTAAGAAATCCAAAGACAGTGGTTGCTCCAGTTGGTATCACTAGAGCCTAGATAAGGCTGAGAGCTAGGCCAATACTCTGCACCTGGGGACTCTATACCTGTGCTGTGCTGGTACCCAGAGAGATGTTAATGTTCCTGTTCTATTATAACAGGAGGGTTTTCAATTAAAATGCCAGTGTTTCAGTGAAAAACAAGCAGTGAAAGGCAAGTTGACACGTGCAGGGCAGGCAGCAGGAAGGACCAGCAGAGCTGCTGGATGGTGCTGGTGTGGCCCAGGAGCCCAGAGCAGCCCCCCCTGCTCACCTCCTACACAGCAAGAGCCAGAGCACAGCAGATTTATTGTACCCAAGAAGTTCACAAATTCAGCGCGTCCCAGACGCATCAGACTCATTTTCTGTGCAGTGCAGGAAAATCTGCCCACATCTAATGAGTCCAGGTTGTCTGAAATGAATCAGTTCTATAATGTATATAAAAAAATCATCTCTATATGCAAAGTAGGCCCAGTTAGAACACGCAGAGTTGCTGTTTCTCTGGATGTTTTAGCCATCAGGAAGCTTCTAGAGACAGCTATTGATATCTTTACAAGGAGGCTGCTGCATTTAAACTTTCCAGACAAATGTTCATAGTACACAAGTAATTCTCTAAATAAATGATAAGGTACTACTACTGAATTTTATGACTTAGTATCACTAGAAAAAGAATTGTTAAATCTATGCTATATAAAATTGAGAACATCAGGGACAGGAGGCTGGAGAAATGGATCTACTGGCACCTATCTAATTCTCTGCTGAATGTGTCACTGTATTTAACAGAGGTAATATTTTTTCTTAAAGTTAATAATCATGCTGATTCTTGGGAATCCTTCATGGTGAACGCTGTGATAATGCTTTACAAGTTCATCCATAAATTGTGCTTATTGAGAAATGGTCCAAAGACATGAGCTGCAATGTGTATTCAGTCATTTTCTGATACCAATAGTAGTTGATTTTATGATGTGAGTGAGGTGTGTCCAAACCTCATTCCTCCAAACCAGGGGAGTGTGGTTTGGAGCTGTGCTTCAGAACTGCATGTGCATGTAGGGATCCCTGTTCTCATCATTAGAAGCAGCAACCCTCAAGACATAACGAGACAGTTGTTTGATGATATATTGACATGTTACAGAACATTTGGTGTTAGGAAATAAACACCACTCTCTCCAATATTGAAGTCGAATAGGATGTTTAATGTGCATGTCATTACTGGAACTGAAATTTGGCCAGAATCCTAAGACCAGCACTAAAACTATTACATGACCAAAGGGCTCAGATTTTGGGATTTACTGTAGTGCAGTGTGTATGAGCTGAGCCACACCAAGGGTGTGTCTGCACACCACCAGCCCAGAGCACACAGGCTGAACTCGGAGTTAGTGAGCCTGTCACTGCAGCCCGAGCCACACCTTCACTGGGGCTGAAAGCTGATGCAGAGTAAGTTGGTGACCCACAGGAACTTGATCATGTTTCTAATGTTTCACTCTGAACTCTTCTGAAAGCTAGCACGGCTAGATGTGAAAGTAAAATTGGATTAGGTGAGTAAAGTTTATTTTACATAAGGAACGTTGGCTAGAGTAATCAGAAACTGTTTATCCCAGGGAAAATTCTGTATTGTGCCAACAGCACAACAAACCACTGTCTTGACCATATTCTCCAGCTGGTGCTGTAATCATTATTCACAGCAACACTAATTTTCAAAGTAGAATATGTCTGTAAATAAAGGCAAACAGTTTTCCCTCACGGAACACTGCTTTAACTTGATTTCTGATAAAGGGAAGATATTTTTTTCTTCCTCATTCAGGGAATTTTTGTCTGTAGAGAGCATGCTGAATAGAAGCACAGAGGGCACAAGCAAAGATAACAGTTAAAAGACAATAAACTGATTCTCTTAGGGTAATGACTACAAATAGCCTGCAGTTGTTGCACAGTCTGACATAAGGCAGATGGGTTTAATCTCATACAATTATCAGATAAATTGCAACCCAAGCACAGTACCAGGGCGGTGCCCTCAGTAAATAAAGGAGGAAACTCTGGCACAGAGTGTGCCAGTCCCTCACCACTCCCCTTCTGAGCACTCAGGGCAGGCAAGGGCCCTGCTTTGACGTCCAGGCCAGCACCTGTTTCTTCTCTTGAGTTCTGTTATTGAAGGCAAAGACACTACATTTTGCTTCCCAAGGTGTCAATAATGGTGTTGCTCCAAGTGTGGACCCCTGTCAGGATGTAGTATGATCTCAAAGTGGACTTTTTATATAAAGAAGCAGGAAGATCTAGGCATGTATTTAAGGGGATTTTTCAGCGAGATACGTGTGTGTGTGTGTGTCTTTCTCTTTCAATCAGTTTTCTGATTTGACAAAATAAACTAGTTCATTCATTTTTGCTAAAGCATAGTGCATAACTTACTAAATTTTTAATTCTTTTTAAAACCTCTCTGAAGTATTCTTTACAAAATGGGCTATGAAAGCTACAGTGGAAGCTTCAGGCAACTGAATAATTTATGAGAAAACTTCAGTTCAAGAAAATTCCGCCCTGATTTTTTCTGTAGCCTTTTGAAGGTTATCACTAAATCAGCTGATGTACAAAGAAGAAAGAAAAATTACCTGTACAATATAGACAACGGGTCAAATTCAGGACAAGTGTAGCTCCATCAGAGTTATCAGCCAAGCTGCTTTAGGCCAGATTAGGTCCTTTCCCTGTAGCTGTACATATCCTCTGTCTTTTGTGTTCACCTTTAGGGACACTTAAGCCAGTGTTGCTGTACTGGGGTTTGTAAACGTGGCATTGATGGCACAGTGAAGTCTGTGTAGCTGCACAATTGTAAGCTGGAGTATCAGGCAGCCTGTAAAACCTCTATTATTGTATAGCCTTCTGTTCCTTATGTGTCACGTAGCCTGTGGGTTTTAATATGGCTAACCAACAACTGAATGTGCAGATTTTTATTTCTAAAACATATGCAAAAATGTGCAACTATTTTGTTCTTCACAAGTGCAGATTGTTCCGTGCTGTCTTTCTAATTGTGCTAATTAATGTGTTTCAAAGATACATGAGTCTAACCACAGTACTTTTTAAAGCTGAACCAAATCCAAATTTGCCAGAGGAATTCAAAGTAATTTATTTAAAACTAATTTCAGGAATTTTAGGAATTAAGTGTGATATTATTAAGTTTAATACGTAATACTGGAATGCAAAGGATTATTATTCATTCAACATAGAACAAAATTATCCTGGGAATTTTGCCAAAGTTGAATTCAGCCCATTATCATTCACATTAATACTTCGAGATTAAAGCAACATTAACTAGCCCCCAAAATACAGTTGCATGTTGACTTTTACCTTGCAACTCTTCCCCGAAGATCCCCTAAGCCAGAAAGCTGCCGCATTTCCAGACTCTTCAGGGTAGAATTTGTTCCGTAGCTGAGATTGTCTCTGACACGTATCTGTTCCTGCAGCATCTACAAAGCATTCATATGCAAATAAAAGCTCAGTATGTCACATTTAATGTACACTGAAAATGTCACTCACTATTTTTCAGTCGTTCAGTACCCTCAGATACCATTTTGTTATTACTTTATTAAAACTTTGTCCTGCAATGTACTAAACCAGATATCTTTTAGGCATTTTATTATTTCTTGTTATTAGTGTCCAATCTGCACATAAATACCATAATATGCATAAAGTATAACTTGACAATAAAAATGAAAGGATAAAAAAATATTGGGTTTTATCCTTTCATTTTCCCCACCACACCCCTGTTGCTCACTGCAGCAGAGGTCACATGTGAAGTCATGGATCTGCAGAGGATTAGGTCATAAAAATGAGCAGTTGGGTTTGGTTACTTGGTGTCATCAGTGAGTCAGAAGGGAAAGACAGTTTATTACAGAGCTCAGGCATTTCCTAGTGTTTACACAGCACAGCCTTTGGACTGAACTTGAGCTGGGTATTAGTGTCGCATTAATTCATTTTTTCAAGATTTTCCAGTGCAGCTTTTGAAAGCAAGCTTATTAGAACCACAAAGGCTTCTGTGTTTATATGCTAATATCCTGTGCTATTTTCATAGCCCCCGAAAGAATTATGTAATTTGCAAACACTTTTTCAAGTTGTAAAAACAGTTTATAAACTTACAGGATCTTCAGACCTCGTCTGACCTCTGCTTATCCTGTGCTATAAACTTTCTTAGGAAATTAGCAGGAATAAGTGGCTGGGATGGCGTTAGTGCCGTGGAACATTCCCGACATACCTCAATGTCCCGATTGAGCTGCCTCACTATGGCCGTTATGTTTCGGATGTGCTCCTCCAAGAGCTGCCGGGCCAGCCGGTCTCCCCCCCCTTTGTTCTGCATTCTGTGCAGAGTGTGAACAATGTCCTCCTTAATGCGGAAAGCGTGTTCCACAAGGGCCGCCGTTGTTTTCTCATGGCTTAGGATCCTGTCTTCCAGCTGATCCACCAGGCTGGCAGATGCCAGCGGCACCGCCGTCAGTGCCTGGCTGTGCAGCGGGATGTTCCGAACCCGTCTAGTGCAGAAGAATATCCAAGATATTGTTAAGTTCCCACACAAAACTCTGCAGTGTCTTTCCACGGGAGACAGTGCAATGCTATCTGAGTACTGGGAGAAGCCCCAAAATACTCACAGAGAGAGGGCCCACTCCTACAAATAAGCGGGTGCTGTGTTGGCTACTGCTGTGTCTTGTACAAAGGCGGGTCAGGCTCCCTGTCATTCCCCTTAAGGGAGCTTACGAAAGCATAGGATCTTAAGAAAAGGACATTAGCATAATAAAAGTAGCTACAATTCAGAACTAGAGTTTGATTAAGAATCCAAATTCAAGCCCCTTTATTGAGTTTCAAAAGTAATGTTATTTGTCTCTGCAGTTCTCAGGCTTAATCTAAGCCGTAGCTGTAGAAGGTAGGTATTGTAAATCAAATGCAAACAGACTGAGATTAAAAAGCAGTAGCCTGTGTCAATTCCTTTTTTCAGTCTCTAACACACACAGAAGCTTGTTCCCCCATGAACTGGACAGGAGCATATGTGGGTATAGAAAGATCAAAATTATTACAAACTTCTCACAGTCTTAGAACACAAATTTTCCCCCCAAAATAGCTTACATTTGGGTACCTTGAATATTTGTCTATATTTTTCAAGGGTGCAGTGCACTTGCATAGCTTCCATGGAATGCAATGGAGCTCATGGGTGCTGAAAGTAAAACTGAAATTAGGCTGCTAATGCATGCAATCTTTTCCTGCCACTATATTCTGTAAAGAATAATGAAAACTTTCAGAAGCATAAGGGGAAGATACAAGTTCAACCCCACTTTGAAAGAGGAGATCTTTTCTTAGAACAGTATTATTTACTGTGCATTCTCATTTTCATTCCTATTAATAAGCCAAATCAGCAGTTCAGTTTCACCATGATGATACTGTTAGAGATGCATGAGGACTCTTAATACAGGTCACTTTTGGCTCTGAATTTTCACACTCGTTCCATGCTATTAGAAGTCTGGCTAAAATAAAGTATTGTTGGACTTCTACTCAGTTACAGTTTAAGTTATTTAATTTATTTGGGAAATGGTTAAGTAAAAGCTGAGCAAGGAATTGTGATTTGGGCCATGATTTGAATGTTTACAGTATTTCACTTTGCTTTGCATACTAATGCCAAAGTCCCAAGCCACGGCATTACTATATATAGGGAATCAAGAGACACATAATACTCTGCAATACGAAGATTTTAATTTTTATATTCCAAACTGTACCTTTCAGAAGGGGCAAGAGTTGGGAAGATTGGGCTTCGGTGGGCCATTTTCTGGTCAATAATTTATGTCTGTTGAAAAAGTACACATTGAATTATTGAGTAGTTTATATCGGCACTGACATGACTAAATTCTTCTGCTTTAAGTGCACCTTTAAGTAAAGTTTAAGATTAAAAATAGATACAAAAGAATGAAGACTAAAAACTGCTAAAAAGCTTTTTATAGTGAAAATTATACTCTTGAAAAGGCAAGGGTGACAGCCTTGAAACTGAAATCTGCTGTTGACCTACAGAACCGGTTTGGCAGGACAAAGGTAAACAAACTTCTTGTCCCCAATCTGTCTACTGGTCTCAGACATAATTAACTAATGAATAATAAAGTAAGATCTACAGGATTATCGTAAAACTTAGGATAATATTGACTGGAGAGTCAAATACAAATGTTTCATTACAGTACATTATTAGGGATAAGGTGCTTTTCAGGTAAAAGCATTGGCAGTCAGAAACCTAAATAAAATGTGTGACATCAGCATAGTTTAGCAAAATTGAGTCTTTTGCTAATTTGTCTTGAAATCTAAATGATCACACTTTATGTTGTAAGTAAATTCTTCTGTGGTAAGAATATAGATTATGGCTTTAATTTTTAGACACTGCCAGCCAGACTGTGACAGACATTGCAGCAGAGTAGGTCTATTCAATAGCTTCAGAAAGATATTTTAATATCTTACTGTGATACCAGTACCTGGCTCAGAAGCTTTGTCTGCTGACAGAAATTAAATTAATGACAAAGATGTTAGCCTCAATCAAATCCAACTATTCTACCCTATATAAAACAAATCAACGTTTTTAAGCATCAAGAGAATGAGAACGGCCTAAGCCTGAACTCCCTGGGAACCTAAAATCCTCCCTGAAAACTAAAGGCTGATGTATGAAAAGAATTTTGCAATTGCTGATGAAATCCTGTGCATTATGCTCTACCAGTAGAAAGAGAAAAATGGGTTATGGAAATAAAATAGCCAAACAGTGATTGTGAAGAAGCAATAAGGCTGCCCTCTGAGATCTCAGAATGCAAAGCATGTTTGTGCTTTAGAAATGTATGAAAGCAGTGCCTGAGAGCAGAGAGCAAACATTGTCACAGTGTGTGTGTTCTATTTATAGCACGGTGCTTCAGAAACTACAAATTAGGAAAAAAAATAGTTTTAAGAGAAGGTGGATTGCTGAGCAGCAATGACAATAGACAGGAATTCAGAAGGTCAGAGTTTAACTCCTTGCTCAGTCTCTGACCCACTGAACTTCAGACAAGTTATTTCCACGCCTAATGACTCAGTTTCCCCATATGGAAGAGAGAGAACAATACCTACCTCCCTGTTTAAGTTCTTACATGGCTATAAGTAAAAAGCAGGGTATAAGAGCTGGGTATCATTGTGATGACTTCTGCGTTCAAAATCCTGCCCAGACACTGAAGGTCCAGTTCTGCAATCTGTTCCTCACACCATCCTTTCCCAGTTGTTGGTTTTTAAGCAATGCCACCACTCTCCAGATGTCCCTCCTGGCTGTATCCCCCGGTTACACCACCTGAGATCATGTACTCTTAGACCTCTGGGCCTTAACACATTTTAATGATCTTGATGCAGTGAAGCATTTGAACACAGTTTAACTGTAAACACAGGGGTTATCCCACTGATTTAAGAAGAGCTGTGTGTGCTACAGCAGCAAAGCACTGGATGCTACCTAGAAGAACAAAGAACAAATATTAAAGTTGGCACAGTAGAAGTCTCTTAGTGAAATAAACTTATAAAAGACAACCAAACAGTGTTTTAATCTTATGGCCTTTGGTATCTATTTATTATCAATTGGAAAAAAATGTTTGCAGCAGAGGAAGCATAGGTTTGCTTGAAGCTTTAACTTTTTCTGCCAGATTACCATTAGACATGCAGCTAAATGCAAGTATCTCGAGAAATTGTGCACATGGAACAAAAGTCACACAGATGAATGTCTCAGTCATTTGTTGTTGCTAACTTAAGCACTTCCCTCAGTCACAGTGAAATATCAGCAGTTATTGGATTTCTTGATCTGATCCAATAGCCAGAAAGGATGTGTTTAAGATCTTGTTCAGCGGTTGTACAAAACTTTCCTGCAGTTTGGAGATATGTGCAATAAACTGTAACAAACAGATGTCAGAACTAATGACAAATTCCTTCTCTATGAGTGTATGTAATACCAACTTAGACTAGTAAATATAAAAGAAAACATAAGATGTTCTGACACCTGGATTCAGAGAAGTGTAATTTCACATGGCTGCAATTATAATGTCAGTAAACTGGGACCAAGTTAAATACCAGTTTAAATACTCTCTACAGGTGCTTAATTTTATTTTAATGATGTTATCTCCTACTTAATACTGCTATAGCAATTTAAGTCATGATATATTAACCCAGTAAATATTGGGTTGATTAATTTAGGTTACTGAATATTCCAAATATACTTGTCACATGGACAAGACAAAAGATTTTCCCCAGCTGTGACCTGTATGCCTGATTGCCAAAAATAACAGTTCGCCTAACACAGGGCAGCTTTTCCATAAAAACATGGATTACTTCCGTATTGTTTCTTTAAGTCATTGACATCAGATGTGTAAAAATCACCCATGGAACACGATGAAAAAACACTTTTAGCAATGTACAGTTCGCTCCTTGCTATTTGTGCTGTGGCTTCCATTCCCCACTTCTCAGACTGCCTTGCATGTTTATTTTCTGTGGATTCTCCATTTCTCCTGTTATGAAGGATAATCTCATCTGTAGTGTTCAGTTCCTCATCTTCCATGATAACCTACGTCTAATACTTGCTGTAATGTCTCTGCACCTCGGAGTGTTTTTCACATTCATTCTCACAATATGCCTGCGGGGTAGGAAAGCATTATTATCCCTGAAAACATAATTTCCTTCTGTTGCTGCTAGGGAAGTGAAGCACGGGGTGGGCTATGTGACTTGCCACAAGTCACACGGGAATCAAAGCAGACTGAAATACCTGCCTAGGCAAACACTTTAATCACTCTTTTCTTCTTAAAATAGCAACCGCTTTGGTTGCTGCGCAGGGAACGTGTGACACCACCCCGGCAGCTTCCCAGTGTTACTCTGAAGTGCTCTGGGGCGACGCTTTGGAGTAAGAGAAAAAGTCCTTGTGTTGCACCTCAGCAAAAAGACGGGTCAAAAGGCGGCGGTGTCGGGGAGAACCAGCCCCCGCCGGCCCCTCTGAACTCGGACGCGGGGTGCGAGGGGGTGCGGGAGGGACCCCCCGGCAGCGCCGCGACCGCGCCCGCGGCTCCGGGCCAGGCCAAGGGGCCTCTGGGGAAACAGGTGCGACGGCCGTGCCCGTGCCGAGGGCTCTGAGCGGGGGGATGGCGCCGGAGTCCTGTCCTGCCCTGCCCTGCCCTGCCCTGCCCTGCCCGCGGCTCGGCCCCGTGGCGCGGGGTCACGGGTGGGCGCAGCGATGGCTGCGGGGAACACGGGGCGTGCGACAGGCGACAGGACACCACGGGTCACACACCACTCACGGCCATGCAACACGGAGGGACAGAGCCGGGGCGGGCTCTGCGCTCACTCACCGGTGCTGGCTCGGGGCAGGGCAGGGCTGCCCGCCGCTCCCGCGCATCCCCGGTCCGAGCCCCGCTCCGCTCCCGAGCGCCGTGACCGCCGCTGCGCCGCCGGGGGCCCGTCCGTCTGTCCGTCCGTCCGTCCGTCCGTCTGCCTTCCCGGCCGGCTGCGCGGAGCGGCTGGGCTGGGAGCGCAGGGGAGCGCTGGAAGGGAGCGCTGGAAGGGAGCGCTGGATGGGAGCGGGGCGGCCGCCGCAGGCCGGGCTGCGGGAGCGGGAGCGGTTGCCAGGACGCCGTCGCCATGGGAACGCGCTGGAGCCCGGGGCGGGCGGGAGGGAGCCCTTGGCATCGCCCCCTCCCCGCAGCTATTTCCCGGCAGCGCCCGACCCTCGGGAAGGAGGGAGGGAGGGGAAGGGCCCCGCACACACTCGAGGCTCGGGGTCGAGCAGTGGGCACGGAGCGGGGGCAGTGCCCGCGCCTCCCGCGCCCGCAAACACCGGCCCCCAGACGGAAAGTTCGGCGGTGGCAAACAGCGGTGACTCCGAGTTTCGAGCCGAGAGTGTGACTAAAGGCATGGGGGTTTCCAGGGCTCATATCAAACCATGTCGGAATACAAGATTGTTGAAATCAATGGCAAATACTAATCTTGTTTGTGAGATTTCCAGGTTACATTTTCAAATGAGACCTAGCGTGCAGCTTCAGTGAAACTTCACATATCACAGCAAATGAGAGCTGTCTGCTTGTACAGCAGAGGCGTGCGAGCTGAGAGAAAGTATTACTGGATAAACAAATCCACAGAGGGTGTGTCTGCCTTCACTTTTGTTCCTGCTTGTGTCGTTCCTTGGCTTTCGTTAGTTACAATCACCTTGGGTAAACAAAGGTAAATGAAATCCAAGGCAAACTGCACCACTTCACTCTGAAATAGCAGATTGACTCTGTTTTTAGTTAAAATTCATGCCATATCCTGTATTGTTGTATAGGCAAACCATTGCAGGACTGGGAATCAGTCAGATGTGAAGGAAAAAAGGGTTATACTGTGCACATGCTATTGTGGAAAACAAGACAGGGTCTGAGTCCACACTCTGATTGACCTGTTTATTTTAAAATTCGATGATTATTTTATCATCAAAAGATCGGGCCAGAAAGAAAACATGCCATAAGTGCTTTCAAAATTATGAACTGAGAGTCATAGGATTGTGGGATAATTCAGCTTACAATGGACCCAGGAGAGCACTTGGCCAACCTCCTGCTCCAGGCGAGGTCATTAATGAGGCCAAATGCAGTTGGCCAGGGTTTTACCCAACCTATTCTTGAAAACCTTCAAGTATGAAGTCCCTCCAACTTTTCTGGACAGCCTGTTATCACCCATGCTTGTTTGGCTGCTGGGGAAGAACATTTTCTTTATACCTAGTCCGGAACCCCTCTTGTTTGCGTCTATGTTGTTGTCTTCCCACCATGTGCCACTGTGAAGAGTCGGACTTTGCCATCTCGATGACTTCCTCACAGATGCTGGGGGCTCTTGTTAGGTCCCCCAAAGTCTCCTTTCATCAGGCTGAGCAAGCGCTGCATTCCCAGCCTTTCCTCAGGGATCCAGCCTCCGACCATCTCACTGGCCTCTGCTGAACTTGCTGATGTACACAGCTGTATTCCCTGACCTGGCCAAACTAGACTAACTTCATGCTCTTGTGTAGGTATTTTGTACCTGTCTAGTGATTTTTCTTGCTAAAGGACTGCTCGGATACTCAGTATTTTTTTGAGTGTGTATGTCTGCAGAGTAGGGCTTGAAAGCAAATTTTTAGTAAAAGCAAATTGATTGAAGTTATTTTAATTTAAAAACATAACATTTGTACCTCCTACTTCAGTCTTGAAAATAACATTAAAAGGTCCCCCCATGTTGCTTTCTCCCTCTAGCCCTTCTCTGGCGACAGAGTGGGCCAAGACATGTGGCCAAGGCATGTAAATTTTTGTTTGTTCTTACCCTCTTCTCAAGGGTAACACCACTGTCCAACACAATATTTGAGGTGAATGGTCTTTGGTTTGACCCACACAGATGCTCTTTTCATGTTGTGTTATCAGAGATCATTATTTTTTGTACTTATATCACACTCTTGATGTTTCTAACGAAAGCAGTACTAAACTGTTGTATTTTATATCATTACATCTTCAGTGTCATTCACAGTGAACATGTACATTTATTTTCTTAAAGGCAAATTCATATCATGATCACTTTTTTCATCAGGGCACAACAACAAGAATAACATTAATTTATTCTGGAGTCTTCAACTGTCTCACTCATGAATGCAGCCCCATTTCAAATAATCACAGAATTACAGAAATAGAGTAATTTAGGCAGGAAGGGACCTCAGAGGGAATATGGACCAACTCCCTGCTCAAAGCAAGGCTAATGTTGTTGTTAGATCAGGTTGCCCATCATAAAGTTTTGATCTTAAAAGCTTGTGTAGTGTTTTAAAAAAACCTCCCTTTGAGGAAAAAAAAAAACAATTCTTGCAATTTTGTTGTTGTGAATCTACATAGCTTAACTGAATTCAGTCACAGGAACACAGGAGGCAGAACTCCTCGGTTACCAAGTCCTCGTGGACTTCTTCCAGATTTATACCAGCCTTGCAAATAACAGCATTATTCATACGTTTTGGTTTGCAGTTGGAGAAATAATTCAACTCCATGAATTCTAAGTGTCTCTTGCATCTGAGGCGTCTCTTAATCAGATCCAGAGTGAAAGAGTCACATGCTACTTTTCCTCAAAAAGATCCAAACCCAGCAGCGGATGAAAAAGGGCTGTTGACTTTGCTACTGTAATTTTGACTCCAGTGCTATTTTAGATGGACACATTGAACACGTTAAGGGCACGTTTTCTGAACAGGTTTGCTTCTCTCATTTTGGGGCCAACCAAAGAGAGGAAAGAAGAAATTGTGTTGGGCACAGAGAAAGGGAGTGAGAGAAAGCTGCAACGATTATACTGGTTTTCAGCGTGGAAACCTGTCCTAATCTCTGAAGTGATTTCATCACATTTTAAGTCATAAAATTCTGCCTTTGTCTAATACATGCCATTTTGCTTCTCCCTACATTTCACAAGAAGAAATTGTTGAATCCATTTATTTCCTGGAAGTAGAATTCTGCATATTCCAAGTGTAACTAAAGGCAGAGTGTAACCATCTGCATTTTAGAAGAAAATGTTATGATTAAAAAGTATCTGTTTATTCTTTGGAAGGCAGATACAGGAAAAAAAATACATTGAATTTTTGAGGTTTCCTTAATCTAATATAATTTGTTTTTCTATGATACAAATCCTTCATCTTTCTAAGTATCAGACTGTGTGGTTTCTAACTAAAAGTATGATGTCTTGTTAAGGGACTTAAGCCTTGTTTTAATGGCTTTCAAGCATTAATTAAATTATTAATTAAATTATTCTAGTCAACAGAAGGCAAATATATGGCTTATAAAACCTATTCTAATTATAGTTTCTAAGTGCGAGAAAAGCACTAATGTATTTTTTTCCTTTGCTGTCACTTTTAACCAATTAGGAAGCAGTCAGAGCACTTCATTAAAATTTCTAATCTTTTCCAGATTCACTGACTTCTCGTAAGAGTCGTTTCTTTCTGAAGGCACAATTATGATTTTAGAGTGGAGGGCAAGGGGAAGTTATATTCTGTGGCTTTTTCAGACAGTTTAGTGTTTTTACACTTTATCACGAGCCTGGTTCCTGTTTGGTGCTGGCACACAGTGTCACGCAGGCAGTGGGTAGGTGGGAAGGCACGTGTGAGTCACCAGCTGCGCTGTGGAGCCAACAACTTCTCTCTTGTGGTACTGCCCAGTGCAGAGTGGGCTCCAAAACAGGCGATGGCAAAGAGGCTGCAGTCACCCTGTGAGTGCTGAGCCTCTGAAAGTCACAAATGCTACGCCAACAAACCTCCTCAGGCACTTAATCGAAGCTTGTCCTTAAGTATTTTCCTGAAGCTTAGCACCAGCGATCAGTATCAGGAGGATCAAGTGCTGCACCTGCTTGCAGCTAGAAAATATCCTCAAAATAAGTCTTGATTCTTAGCACCCCTGTGCATGAGCCGGTAGGTGTTACTAACCAAACATACTGTCAGACAATACACAAGCTGAAAAAACTGATGGAAGTTCTCAATGCAGGAAATTTTTCTTAAATCTTTTCAAGTGAGGCCTTTGAAAGGTAACCTGTCCATAGGAACGTTATGACAGGAATGTCACCATTTCTAAGTTTTGTGCATCATTTAAAAGTACAGAGGGTCCTCCTGACTCCACCTGAAAAGGTTCTGCCTTTCTCACAGATGACTTGTACATTCTTGGCTGGAGGACCCAGGTGTGCAGACCAGGCACTCCACCACTGACATTCAAAGGGAAATGCCTTCCCCTGCTTCCAAGCATGGATGTTGAATAAGTGCCATTCACTTCATACAGTCAGCTTGGGACTTAGATGTTTATCATTAAAATAAGCAGAATGTTTAAAAGCATGAAAAGAGTTCATTGTGAATTAGACTATGCTAGGTACACAGAGTGCTTAGCAAAGGTTCATGCAGATGCAGAGCACTGAGTCCTTCAGCTCTAGGCTTTTTGTGGAAAGTCATCTTCTAGTCCATCTGGAGTAGATGGACCCAGTAGCACACATCAGTTGCAGTGAACTCAGGACACTTTCTCCATGAGCCTACCAGTGGGAATGCACTGTTTAACTATTCATCCACAGCCTTGTTTCTCTTCTTTTTTCATAGCTCTTTATAAAGATGTTTGTATGTATGTAAACACACATACTTACAAATATACGTCTTAAGAAAATTAACCTATACATTAAAAAAGACCCACATCCAAAGCAAATAGAAAAACCTACAAAATCTGTATCCATTCTCTCTTTTGTCAGCCCAATATCCATATGCTCTCTGGATTCTTGCAGGGTTTTTTTCACTGCTTTTTATCACAGTCTCATAATTTTATGTAACATTTCCATGTTCAAAAGAAATAATAGGAAAATTATTTTTGTCCTATTTCCATGAAACTGCTGTTACCTTCTGTTGAGAATAAAAGTGTGAAACTCATCTCCTGTGAAGTTCTGTGCACTTTCAGCATTATCAGATATATTTTTGCTTAATAGCTATTGCAGCTCATATTTACCACCCAGCTATTTTCTCAATGAAAGTATTTCCTACCTCTCATACCAATGTCAGCTAACATCCAAGCA